GGGGGGAGGGGGGGGAGACGTGCACAAAGGCAGGTAGGGAGGGAGGCAGAGAAGGCGGCCACGCCGCCACGAGGCCCAACGCTGCCAAGCTCTGCCCCCTAAGCAGCAATCAAGGTCAGCAGCAAGCAAGCAAAAGCAAGCAGAAGCAAGCACAGCACAGGCGGGGCGGCGCCACCCACCGCTGCCCAGCCCCAGCTTGGCGATGCCTCCCAACAGCAGGCTGCCCTGGAACAACTGCGCTGGCACTGGCAGCAGGCCGGGCTGCAGGGGAGGGGCAGGGAGGGGTGGGGGAGGGAGCGGGGAGGGGGTGTGGGCAGCGTGCGGGGCGGACTGTGGCGCTGGCCGGGCAAGGCCCCTCCAGGGCAGCACCCGCCCACAGGGCACCCCCATCCACACACGCAGAACAGGCACGAGCACACAAGACACACACACAACCAGGCCTGCCTCTGCCATGGCGCCCCCGCGGCTCGGGGCCAAGCCCGGCAGCGCCCGCCCCCCCACCCACCCACCCACCTTCCCCCCCCCACACAATAGCCACACACGCACAGGCAAGCAGCCAGGCAGGCAGCCGGGCCCACCTCTGCCGCTGCGCCGCCGTGGGAGGCGGCCAGCCCCTCCAGGAGGAGGGCCATGGAGGTGAGCCCCCCCGCCGCCAGCGCCGCCGCCGACAGGTCGAACAGGTCGGTGCGGGTGCGCACCATGGACTTGAGCTGCGGGAGGGCAGGGAGGGAGCCGGGGAGGTCGGAGCGGGTGACAACACTCCAGACAACGGGGGGGCGGCGAAAGCTGGCACCCGCACCCCAGCCCCAGGCAGGGGTCCAGACAGCAAGCCACAAGCGCTGGCGGGTCAGGCAGCGTCCCCCCTGTCCCCCCGGGGGTTACCCCCAGAGCAAACCAGCGGCCCACCTGCGTCACGCTGCCAAAGGTTCCCAGCTGGGAGTTGGGTATGAGGAAGGAGGGGGCCAGCTTGATGCCGCGGCTGCCCGCCACCACCGCGTGCGCCACCTCGTGCACAAGCTGCAGGGGTGGGGGGGTACAGGAGGGGCAGGTGTGTGTGTGTGTGTGTGTGCGTGTGTGGCACGCCCAACCAGAAGGACTTGGGGAGACGCACATCTCTCCAGGGTGGCGAGGGGTGGAGAGGAGAGGCATGCGCGGCCCGCGCTTGCCGGCGGCCCGCGACCGGGGCCAACCAGCCCGCACAGCAGGCAGCCCGCCGGGCGGCGTGCACAGGAGCCCGGCCCGGCCCGCAGAAGAAGAAAGCACCAAAGAAGAAGGCGCCGCACCTGGGGCAGCAGCGTGACCATGAACACGTTGCCCGTGGAGGAAAGGAAGGGTAGCGGGTCGTAGCTTTCCAGCCCGGGCGGCAGCAGGTCCGTGTTGAGGTTGGCGGGGTTGGCCAGCCACTGGAGCGTCTCCTGCGGGCGGCGAGGCGGGCGGGCATGGTGGGAGGCGGGCAGGGAGGCGAGGAGGCGGGTCGGCGGCGTGGCTGGCGCATGGCTGCCGGGGCCTGGCTGCTGGGGCTGGCTGCACGGCAGGCGGCGCTGCGGGCCCTCAAACCCTAGGAACCCCCTCATCCCGGGGCACTCGCCCAGCCCTCGCCCAGACCTTGCTCAGACCTTGCCCTCCCC